TACAATAAAAAGTATGCAAAATAACAATTATCTGACATATAGACAATATAGACAGTTGCAAGTGACGTACAGTCCAACAAAAAAATAAATGAATATTAGAAAATATGCGTTAAAAATTCTTTATAAGAGGTCGAACAATTTTATAAATATAATATCATCTTTTCAATAAGTTCATTATTTTAAGTATTGAACACAGCTTTTTATTACGTCTTGAACTTTTAGCAGAGATCTTACGGCTCATACAATCTTAAAACTAATTTAGTACACTTTTGATGTTTCATATATGACTGTTTATCCATTTGAATAGTGATAACTCAAAAATATAAGTTCTCGACTTGTGTCACTGTAGAAATACTTGTGCGATATGTTTACGATCGAAGGAAACCAAGATTCACGGTGAAGGAAAACAAACATATCGTTATCAGTATGTTCGAAGCCGGCGCAACATCGTGTATCCAACGATAAGGGCGCGGGCCTAATTGTTGGCAGGGTTCGATCCGTTTTATCGTTACGATATTGGCCGATGAACTGTAAGACAGTACGAACGGGTTTCTCGCAATCTCGTATCTCGTATCGCTACGTCGTTAGACACGTACGTGTTGTGTCTGGAGAATCGGCGTTCCGATCGTACGTAGTACGTGTTTGGTTTACGGAATAGCGAACTGGGTCGTTGTACGTCATACGATTATGCATGTAACAGTTCGGATAAAACGCAATCGTATAACTGGCCCCGAGATATCGATCTCAAAAAGTAATACGAGCCGACGCGTCGTGTAAAGACGGTTGAAATCGACCTGCGAGTCGATTTCTATGCTTAGACCATTTTCATTTTCGATCAACGATCTCCCGGTGGCACGCGTATTGGTTAATAGATATTCGATATTATGTACTTGCATTCAATTACTTAAAGAGATATTCTTTACCTCGCTCGGTAGCTAAACAAGTGTTTAGAGGAATATTCATTGTTTATTAGAATATCAAGTGAATACTAGGTAATCAAGTTAACTCAATTTGCATGTATTAGTTATTAGTAAGCGGATGTT